GTGCCTGTGCGCGTGCGCGTTTATCCCTCCCTCCTTCCCTCCTCTCTTCCCCTTTTTCTCTCTCTCTCCTCCCACACCTCCAGCTTCTCCGGCTCGACCTTTCTTAAAGACGCCGTGACACCTGTTATCACGGCTGAAGGAAGCGGAGGAGGAAGAGGAGGAGGGAGGCGGGGGAGGAGGAGTGGAATCTGGATCTTTGAATTTGAAGCAAAAGGGAAATTGTGAAAGATTCCTTTTTCTCGTTTCAGGAAAGGAAGGAAGGTGAGAGGGAGAGAGGGAGGGTGAGAGGGAATGAGGGAGGGAGGAGGGAGAGGGGATAAGAAAGAAGGGAAGTAAATGGGAAAGAAGGAATGAGGAGATGAGAGAGAGAGAGAGAGAGAGAGAGAGCGAGAGAGAGAGAGAGAGAGAGAGAGCGAGAGAGAGAGATAGAGAGAGAGAGAGAGAGAGAGAGAGAGAGAGAGAGAGAGAGAGAGAGAGAGAGAGAGAGAGAGAGAGAGAGAGAGAGAGAGAGACCGATAAAACGATTTACATGTATAAAAAAAAAAAAAAAAAAAAAACAGACGGGCAAATACGACTTGTTACGCGATTCGCAATAGAGATAAAACATCCATTTTTCGCTCTCGCTGCTGCCAGCAACGGAGGATTGAGTCGAACGATCGCAGTGTCAACAGTAATATGAAAGGTAATTCAATTACACAATAAGATCTTTGTTTCCCCAAATTAATGGAGGTTCCGAGTTTAGATCGAATGCCGCGGGAAAATGTATTGGGGATTAATAATTGTTCGCTACACGATGATCATTATCTTCATCCTCATCTTCTTCATTATCCTTATCATCATCATCATCATTATCATCCACATCATCATCATTCCCATTAATAATTCATTTTAATCATATCTTCGAATATATATAGTATATATAATGTATATTCGAAACCGTTCCAATACATCTCTGGTATTGTTAAGATATTCGAAAGGATTTATTCGAAGCCGGTCAAATACTCCTGTCGCATTGTTGACATTAATTCTCACTCATACCTCATCCACGCCCTCCTGGCCCGCATTCCGGCCAAATCACCCGTCGGTGTATGAGGAAACCGCCCTTCCCGAGGAAGGCAGAACCGGTAAGGCGGACGGGAGAAAACTGGTTCCGAAGGTTCCTCGCGCGGACGAGGCGTCAGGGTCGGGAGTAAGTGTTCATCGGCGGTGCGCTGTGTGTCAGGGGAGGAGGGGGGTGGGGGGGGAGGTTCCATTTGCTGGGTTGGTTCAGTTTGTGGGTGGTCACAGGTGTGTATCTGTGGGTAGGAGTGTGAGTTCTGTCAGTCAGTCAGTTAATTCTCTCTCTCTCTCTCCATGTATATATATATATATATATATATATATATATATATATATATATATATATATATATATATGTATATATATATATATTATATATATATACACTAAGCTTTTTTATTATATTCAGTCCATTTATTTTCATCGCTTATCTGACGAAGGGAAGCATCCAGGGAGCTTGGTTCACCGCGCATTTCCTGTGCAAAGCAGGCTGTGACGTACAAGACCAATTTTAAAAGGCAGGAAAAGGAGAAAAATCTTCTTTCGGCAACAAACATCTCTCCCAAAAAAGAAAACGGATGAGACTGAAGGCAGATTAGGCCTTTAAAAATTCACGAAGCAAACGTTCTCTCGGAATGTAAAAAGTTCGAGAGCCATGTTTATCTTTGAGCCGGAAACGTTTCCTGCGTTCCGCTGTCCTGAAAGCCGCCCGTCGCGCGACCCGCTGCGGCGCCTTCGTTCGCTGTGGTCTTTTCTCTGACGTGATCCGTTGCGCGGGAATCCCTCTCGCCTTTGGCAACGTCACGCTCCTACGCTAAAAAGAAAGAAAGAGCATCACTCCTTTTTCCGCCGACCTCTGTTGCGGAGATCGTGTGGGCGTACTGCGTGGGCGTGATGGGCTTTAATGCTGGGGCTTTAATGGTATGGAGTTATGTGGCGAGAGAAGTCGAGAGGTCGCCTTTGTGCCTCGAATGATGTAATGCTCCGCAGCGGCCGGTTTTTGCCGGTGGGGCTGCCAGGTGCGCCCAGACGTGTTTATTTGCTGGCGTGTGTCGGAATTTTTTTTCTTTTATTCGTTTTCTCTGAACGACATTTAAGATTTATTTTCGTATGCATACATGTATGTATCTTAGTTCTATTGTTTCGATACTGTTGATAACGTAATATGGTACAGTCTATATGTTCGACGGTGAATTATTCCTTGTTAGTGTTTCATGTATTTCGTGTAGAGTGACATCCAGGCAGCTAGTGCCGCTGTAGAGTGTTCGGGGTTCCCATCTGCCGGGCTCGCCTTGGAAAGGATCTGCTCAATTTTATGTTGTTGTTTTTTGGTTGTTTTCACTTGCTAGCATAGTATTTATAATTGCAATAATGACTAAAGTGGAAAGATTATCTTAATTGACTGTGCTGTTTTTCTAACGATATCTACGCCTCTTCACAGGATGACTGAAAGGACGGGAGGAGGGTTCCTGAAGGAGTCTGCCACGGACTTCCTCAAGCGCTCGTCGTCCGTGGAGATCCTAACGCCCACGAACGGCCAGCTCCTGGCGCGGCGTCCCAACATCAGCACGAGCCACCTCCCCGAGCCGGCGACCAAGACCGGGGCCAAGGGCGAGGCCGCGCCCGTGATGACCCCGCCGGATCGGCAGACGTCGGCGAGCACGGGGACCCTCGCCCTGTCGTCCAAGAACGGCGCGCCGATGCAAAACGGGACGGTCTCCCCGCGCAACCAGCGCAGCCTAGAGAACGTGCGTCTCGGGGAAAAGGCTCCCAAGCCCCACAAGAGAAAGGGGCCGCAGCTCCCTCCCCTCCACATGCCCCAGAGGAATGCCCCGACGCCCCCCAACGCCACGCCCCAAGGCACCCCGATCATCGGCGAGCGGGGACACATCTTCACCATCTCCAGCGCCGTGCCCGACGACCCGATCTCGAAGAATCCTGGCCGGAGAGAAAGCGGCCCCGACCCGAACCCCCTGGCCAAGCGACGCCCCTCCGCAGCGACGCCCGTGGCATCCCCGAAGGAGGGTGAGTTGGCACCAGCTGGAATTCCTCAGTTTTATTGGTTTTGCTTGCAGTCACGTCGGCAGAGAGGGGAGGGAGAGAGAGAGAGAGAGGGAGAGGGGGAGAAAGAGAGGGAGGGGGGAGAAAGAGAGAGAGGGGGAGAGAGGAGAGAGAGATAAGAGAGAGAGAGAGAAAGAAAGAGAGATAGAGATGGAGAAAGAAAGAGAGAGAGAGAAAAAGGGAGGTAGAGAGAGAAAGAGAGGAGGAGGGAGAGAGAAAGAGAGGGAGGGAGGGAGAGAAAGAGGGGAGGAGGGAGAGAAAGAGAGGGAGGGAGGGAAGAGAGAGGGAGAAAGAAAGTGAGAGAAAGAAGAGAGAGATGGAGAAAGAAAGAGAGAGGGGGTGGGGAGAGAGAGAGAGAGAGGAAGAGAGAGGGGAGAGAGCGAGAAGAGAGGGAGGGAGGGAGGAGAGAGAGAGAGAGAGGAGAGGGAGAGAGGAGAGAGAGGGAGAGAGAGAGAAGGGAGAGAGAGAGAGGGAGGGAGAGGAGAGAGAGAGAGAGGAGGGGGGAGAGAGAGAGAAGGGAGGGGGAGGGAGGAGAGAGAGGAGGAAGAGGGAGAGAGAAGAGGGAGGGGAGAGAGAAGAGGGAGGGGGAGAGAGAGAGAGGGAGGGGGGAGAGAGAGAGGAGAGGAGAGAGAGAGAGGGAGGGGAGAGAGAGAGAGGGAGGGAGCGAGAGGAGAGGGAGGGAGCGAGAGAGAGGGGGGGGAGCGAGAGAGAGGGGGGGAGCGAGAGAGGAGGGGGGAGCGAGAGGGAGGGAGGGAGGGGAGGGAGGGAGGAGGGAGGAGGGAGGGAGAGGGAGAGAGGGAGAGAGAGAGAGAGAGAGAGAAGAGAGGGTTTTTTCTTAACTTACCGTTGCTTATTTCCTTGCCTCTTCATGACACTTCCCAAAGCCATCCAAAGTGTCCAACAAGGCGTTTGTGCGGCCTCCCTCCGCGGTGGCTGGTCGTTCGCCGCAGCAAGTACCCCATTTGGGCCTTAAGAGCGAATTGCGCTGAAGGGTTTCCGCCTCTGCCGCGCCTGCGCTGCGTCCGGAGGGGAGAGTTCAGTGCAGGGACTTGCTTGCCTTTGCATCGCATGCATGTCTATATATATATATATATATATATATATATATATATATATATATATATATATATATATATATATATATATATGTATGTATGTATGTATGTATGTATACATACATACATACATACATACATATATATATAATATATATTATATATATATATATATATATATATATATATGTGTGTGTGTGTGTGTGTGTGTGTGTGTGTGTGTGTGTGTACACATATGTGTGTCTATGTATGTGTATATGTGTATGTATATGTATAAATTTTATATAGTATATATATATATATATATATATATATATATATATATATATATATATATACTATATAACAGAAATCATCCTGTCAATCTGGCTGTGCATATTTATATACATTGATATCCAGATGCCTGCGTCCCCCCCCCCCCCCCCCAGGCAGATCGAACCCCTCCCCCCCCCCACCTCAGACTCAGCCGAGCCTCCTGCGCCCCCATCCCCCTTTCCTCTCGTGTTCCTCAACCCGCATTTTCCCTTCAAGACAGCGGCCAGAATGGGGGCTCTTCTAACCTTCTCCTGTGGCCGATTTCAGACGAGGATGAGCCCGTCTGGCAGAGGAGGCTGTCGCAGCTTTTCGTTCCGCCGAGAGAGGACGAGTTCGACCATGAGAAGGTAAGTGGGAGCCGGCATCCCTGTTTTGTGGATTTTGTTATGTATAGATGCATGTATATATGTATGTATATATGTATATACGTGTGTGTGTATTTTTGTACATACATACATATATAAACACACATGTATATATATATATATATATAATATATATATATATATA